AGCAGCTTCTGGGAGCTTGGAACCAGGGTGGACCGGCAGCCCCCCATCAGCTCCCCGCTCTCCTAAGTTGCCGGCAATTCAGCTGTCCCTCCCGCCACTGCCATGTGCTGCTCCTGCCCTCTGACTTGGAGCTGCTCCCCGGAGCCTCCTGCTTGCTGTTGCAGGGGGGGTGCAGAGGGGGGCTAATGTCGGGGTGTCCCCCTCCCCCCGCTCCTGCACCCCACTTACCCCATCTCCATGGCGGCCGGTGGGAGCAGTATCGGCTCTAGGCACCAGCTTGGCAAGCAGGTGCTTGGGGCGGCCACTCCGGAGAGGGCAGGCAATTCGGCGGCAATTCGGCGGACGGTCCCTCACTCCCGCTCGGAGTGAAGGACCTTTCGCCGAATTGCCACCACAGGTCGCGATTGCAATCGCGGCTCTTTTTTTCTTTTTGGCTGCTTGGGGCGGCCAAAACCCTGGAGCCGGCCCTGGGGGGGGGCGACAGGACAGGGCTCAGGGCAGAGGGAGCTTCCTGGGGGCAGCTGCTGTCTCAACTTGCTGATCTACTTTAAAAGGCAGTGTACTTAGAGTGGGGCCAGCGTTCTTAAAGGGGCAATGCGCATCTCTCTCTCTCTCTCTCACAGGGTGTGTCTCTCTGTCTCTGTCTGCCGTGCTGCCTCCTCTCCCTCCATTCGTGCTGCCTTGTAGAGTGTGAGGCTACATTAACAATGTGTTAACCTTTGAGGGCTCAGCCAAGTGCTAGTTCATCATTTAGCAGTAAGGCTCCCTGGGAAATATCCCACCCTCTGACTCCACCACCTCCACCAAGCTTCACAATCATCATCGCTGTGTACAGTATTAAATTGTTTGTTTAAAACGTATACTGTGTGTGTGTAGATCTATATAACAGGGGTCGGCAACCTACGGCACGGGTGCCAAACACAGCACACAAGCCGATTCTGAGTGGCACGCTGCCTGCCCTGTGAGAGGAGGAGGAGGAGGGGGGGGCAGGAAAGCACCACGGCTGGGGCAAGAAGCGGGGGAGGGGGGAAGCTTGGCTGCCGCAGAACCAAGCTTCTGCCTCCTGCCCCTGCAGGGGAGAGTGGTGGGGGGGGAGGTCCCAGGCCCCAGCCCCACTCAGCCCCCGCATCGCCCACCGCTCT